AAATACAATGAAGATCAAGTTTACGAAAACCTATTTCCCTCCACCAGAAAAGAAATGTTTCGAAAAACATATCGGAAAGTAAGCTCAAAATAGACGACACAGTAAGAATCACAAAATATAAAGCCATTTTTGATAAAGGTTATCTACCTAATTGGAGCACAGAAATATTCAAAATCACAGAAGTTCATCCAGGAGAAGTCACAACATACTCCATCAAAGATTTAGCAGATGAAGAGGTCAAAGGAAAGTTTTATGAAGAAGAGCTCACACTATTCAACAATGTCAAAGAAGAATACAAAATAGAAAAGATACTAAAACGTAGAACTAGAAAAGGAGTCAAAGAAATATTTGTAAAATGGTATGGATATCCAGAAAAGTTCAACTCGTGGATCCAAGATAACTAAACACTAACAACTTTAACTCTATTATCTTTAATTTCAACAATATTTTCACTCATAACTAAACAATAGCATTTAGTACATTGTGCAATACTTTTGGAGAAGGATGCTTTTATAGTAACATCAGGTCTAGATTGTATAATCCTATCATTTTGTTTAGACACATCGAATACCAACAGAGGGTAGTAGTAATAATATACATCTTCCTCCATAAAAATATAATCCTTTGTCGATTCATAGTAACTGTTTCTAAACTCCTTTGCGAAATTGTATTGTTGAACAGCATTGAACTTATCGAAATCAAACTTTAAACAATCATGAGGATATCTCTCTGAATTTAATTCAACATAAATTTCTTCTAATCCACAGTTGTCAAATTTACCAGCATTTAGGAAGTTGTTATCTCTATTGCTCTGCAAAGCAACCACAATATACTTTATTTTATCGTATTTTGTTCCCAATTTCCATGTGAATTCCCTATTTCCATTAGGTATATTATAACTTTCCAACTGTCTAGAAATAAAAGGCATCTGTACAAGCTTGCTACTCTCAAAAATATTCAACAGTTTATTTTGCATTTCAAGACTAGGAACAATTTTTGGAATAATCCATTGTAATTTTTTAATATTTATCTTAGCTGTATGTTTTTTAGCATCATTAGATGTAATACTATTTTTGTTCTCAGGAGATCTGTAGAGAGTGAGTTGATGCTTTCTACCATAAACTATTTTATTATAACATTCAGCAAATCCAAACATATGTGTCAAAGGAATGCAAAAAGTAATACTTCCTTTTCTATTTTTTGTATACTTGTTAATCTTGTATGTAATAATATCTTTAGTTTCTAGAATCCAACCAAAAGTGTTTTGTTTATTCATGGTGCTGCTATATGTTAAAAGTCCTTTCATCAAACTAGCTCTACCAGGATCCATTATACTTTCAACTTGCATACCATCCATGCTATATGTTGATCTATCAAACAAAAACATTGGTGCATTATTAGTCAACGAGACCTCATCTGTTTCAGCCAACACAGTGTCATCTGGTTTCAATAGTTCACATTCCATATAAATATAAGACTTGTGTAAGTGTAAGTATTGATCACACGTTTCTATGACAAAATTGATTTCTCCATGTTGGTTCGAACTAGATCCAGAGGAAAGAAATATGCTTATAAGATTCTC